CTCAGAAGGATGGAAGGCTGAGTCACCCTTGAGCCTGGTGAGATTTGAACTACCAAATTGCAGGCAGCCTTCAGAAGTAGCCTGCAGTACTTACTGCATTCTAACCTCTGCGCCACCACGGCTCTATAATATAAATTGTAATAAAATAACAAATTTTGATAGTATAGGAAACAACAGTGATGGCTGACAGATCTTACCAAAAGAGTGCCAATTGTATAAGCAAATAGAAGAAATTGTACCCCTGCATAACAGAGATAAGCCCTACTTAGAATAATTATTTACCTTGGAATTGTGGAAAATAGTTAATTAAATGAGAATGCATAATTTTCTCTTCTAAAATATCTTTTTTGTTTAAAAACAAGATGATTGAAGACTTCTGAAACCAAGGATAGGTAATTACTGTTTTGAATAAGGCCATGCTTTCTTCCAAACGATTCTACAAGAAAAGTATAAAAGAACAAAGAAGTGTTTTTAAATAGGTTATCTTCAAAAATTAAAGTACCTTTATTTAATTTTCAAAATGAAAGTACATTTTTTTTCATCCTGACATATACACAAAATGTAATTAATCTGGGCAACTATATTAGCTATCCAGATAATGCCATAAACTCTATTACACATCTTAAAAAAGACATGTGTGGAGATGGGAAAACTTCACTGGCCTGTGGACAGAATGTTCCTGGGAACACTGGAACTTCCTCCCCACCACCTCGGGAACGCAACGATCTATTTCTTTTTGGGATGGTGCAACAGTGTTGGAGAAGTATATCTCCCAGAAGAGGAAATGCTTAATGCTGGCACATTTCCAGAAAACTACTGGACCACCTCCAGATGGTACAGTTGGCAAGAAAAGAAGAATTCTGTTCCAGGAATGGTGATGTTTGTGTATGACTAAGAGCATGGACTCCATATGAATCCATACGTAAAACTGCAATCAGACAAGAATTACTAAGATGAGCCCTGCTACAAAATTGAGTGCTGCATGATAGCAGACAACTTACTTATAAATGTTTATGATGAGTGTTTTACAGTTATTGTTACAGTTATCTCTGCTGGAGGATTTCAATGGACTGTAGGATTGTGATGCAGGTAGTCCTTGGTTAACGACCATTCGATAAGCATCTGTTCAAAGTCACCATTACGCTGTGGAGGGTGGTTATGACCTTTCCCAATTTTCCTGTCATCCCAAGGCCACCATAGTTATGTAACTGCGACCTAGGCCCTTGGCAATCAGCTCACACTTATGATGTTTGCAGCATCCCAAGGTCACGTGATCCCGATTTGCAACTTTCCCTGCCAGTTTCTCACAAGCAAAGTCAATGGGGAGACTGGCAGGGAAGATTGTAAATTGCTCAGATTAGCTTCCCTCCACCCGTGCAACATGTCCCATCCTCTGCACGTATGACATGCCTTGTTGGCCACCCGTAAACCACCCCTGGACCTTCATGCATCCTCTGAGTCTTGCTATGTTCGGACACTCTCCCAATGCTTTAGACACCACCTCCAGCCTCACTGAGCTCACTTCATGCATCCCTAGCTACGAGTGCACTTTCCCCTACCTGTCAGCAGCCATCCCAAGTCTGTACCAGTTGTTCCCCCTTGCACACTTTCCCAAGCCTTGCTGCATTTGTGCCATATCTTCCCAGCAGCTTGCTCTGACTCTCCCACCCAACAGCAGCCACCCCACTCTTTTTTGCACTCACCTCCCAAGCCACCCATGTGCCTTCCAGCGCATTTGCATACCCTTACGCACTCTCTCCCACCCAGTAACAGTCATTTACCTGTCTGCTGGCCTGCTTGCAATCTACTGGAGATTTGCACATTTCTGCTAACTTCCCTCTGACTTTGGTTGTTAGAAGCTGTGTAACAACCTACAATCTTCTCTTAACAATGGCCATGGGCACTACAGGGATTGCTATCATTAAGCAATGCAATCACATGACATTGTGCTTTATGATTCTATTGCTTAATGATGGAAATTCTGGTCCCAATTGCCCTTATAACTCAAAGTCTACCTATACAAAGTTCCTGGAGGCTGGCTCATAGAGGAATGCTTTGGGTGATGTAGATTGTGAGATCAGAAAACTCATTAGTAGGAAGGAATAGAGAGACTGAAGGAGGAGTTAGGAGATGCTCAAAGCCAATGTCAGTTGGCAAATGGAAGGTGTAGGCAGAAGACCTTTGACCAGCTCATGCTCGTGCACCAATTGCGGCCCTACCTGGAGCAGGCTGTGTTTCAGTAACTCGGGCCTTTATCACTTTGTACATGTGATTGTCTCTGAAGACACTTAGGAGCCTCTGGTAGTGTGGATGGAGTGTCCCATGTGTTAGCCAGCACGTGGCCAGAATAACATTATACATGATCGGTTTCCAAACAGCTTTTAGGTATAATTCAAAATTCCTGTTTTGACCTATGTATGCCTTTGACGCTTGGGTATGTTCAGTACTGTATCCTCCAACCAGACTTGACCTATCTGACTCAATTCAAAAGCATTGCTCTTGAGGAACTGGTCCTTCTTTGGAACAGCCTCCCTACAGAGCTCAGATATGTCCCCTTGATTGTTCTTTGAAGATGCTAAAAATTATGCTCTTCCAAAGAACATCTGTTGATTGAGATGCCACTAGGTTTGATTTTTGTGGCTGATTAGAGGTAGTCCGCATTTAATGACCTGTCACTTAAAGATGATTCAAAGTTATAACAGACTCTGTTCCTCCCCAAGGATGGGATTACATACAAGTTATAATTGCCACATGTGCACAGACACACCATGGTCACACGATTGCATTTTGGGTGCTTGGCAACTAGCTTGCATTTACCACCAGCTGCAACACCCCACAGTCATGTGATCATAATTTGCAATGTTTTTGCCAGTTTCCAGGCAAAAAATGCCCATTCTCAAAAATGGATTTACTTAGCGACTATGTAATTCGGTTAAGAACTGTGTGGTGAGTCATTTTACGGACTATTGTAAAAACAGTCATAAAATCAAATCAGGCGATGTGGTGACCCACCTAACAATCACAGTGGCTTTCAACCAAAATTCCACGCTCCATTGTGATCATTAAGTGAAGCTATTTATTGCCATTTATTTATTATTAATCATATATTAGTTTATTTTCAACTATGGATGTTCTATTAGTTTAGTTGAACATGAATATACCTCTGTCAGAAGTCCAAGCCAATTATATTGGTATAGGTTTCGTGTTAAGGGCATAGTTGGGCAGTTATGGCTCAAGTTCCTTTCCCCCCCAACTAGATAACTAGCACAAACGTCAGCCTTCCATGGTAACTTCTGTTAAGATGCACACATGAGTATTGAACAACTATTTATGACAGCAATTACTTTTCTTTTTCCTACCTCATTATGGGATTCTGCCAGGACTTGGTCATATTCACTCAGTGCAACTAAAAATATAATTGAGGTCACATTTTCAAAGCAGTGAATCCATTTCCTTCTTTCTGATCTTTGTCCACCAACATCTACTATTCTGTAAAAAGGAGCATAACTCACTAATCATCCTGTAAAGCACTTCGCCAAGCACCAACTTTGAGGCTGCACTTTGCTAGAACGATTTATTTCATACAATTGATTTTTACATTTTAGGTTTGGAAAAATTAACAGGTAAATTATGTTCCACTAAAATGATGATGGAAAAGTTATTTCAAGTTATCTGAGCTTTATGGGTACCAATTCTATTGTTTGATCAAATAATGTGTAACTTCATCCCATCTCTAAAATTCTTCCACAACACACATTCCTAGTGGCTGTGCACTACGAGTAAAAGACAAGTAGTGAAGATGCATAGTGCAAGAGTTGTTTTTCTAATGCATTGAATAAAATGAGTCCAAATGTGGAAGACACTGAAACCAGGCAGGAGCAGCTCTCAGCAAAACTCAGGAAAACAATTCCTATTGCTGCCCATGCTGTGGTGGGGGGGAGCGGGGAGAGCGCAAGCAAGGGATTGGAAGACTGGCTGGGAAACTATCATGGACTGTTGAAAAGGAAGTTCGTGTGATTGCAGCAAACCAGAAGTGCAGCAGCAGCCAATAGCACTAAATCAGGCATAACTTCCCTAAATTTCATTTCTCAAGAGTCATGGGTCTTCGATCTTGAACACATTCTGTCAGTCCAGCTGAGGTACCTTATTCAAAAATGGTTGCCCTATGATGCACCGTTTCACTCAGTTAAAGGTCACGACAACTACAGTTTTAGTAGTTTATAGATTAGGAAATCTGATGCGCAATGGCTCTGCAATTAAAGACACTGAGCTTGTCACTGGAGAGCTGGCAGGCCAGGTTCGAAATCCAAGCTCTGCACAATGAGGTGAGTCCCCTTCCTTGCTCCAGCTCCTGCACACCTAGCAGTTTGAAAGCATGCAAATGCAAGTGGATTAATAGATATCACTTCGCTGGGAAGGGAGTAGCTTTCTGTGCACCTTTGGCATATAGCCATACTGGTCACATGACCAAGGAAATTATCTTTGGACAATGCTGACTCCCTCAGCCAAGAAACTGAGATGAGTACCATTCCTTAGAGTCGGATACAACTGAAAGGGAAATCTTTACATTTAGATTACGAAATCATATATATATGTGACTCTGTGTGTGTGTGTTCCAAAATAACTCTGGAACGCCTCGAGCAATTTCAACCAAATTTGGTACACAGATGACTTACTCTCTGGAAAAAAATACTAAGATACCCCTAACAACCCTCAGAGGGGTGTGTTCTGTTAAGATACAGCCTGTTGTGGCTTAAAATGCTGTACTGCCGTAAAATGGCTTCTACTGTACAGTGCAGTGGAGTTGCCATTGTAATGGCTTCACAGTACTCTACAAGGGGGCTCCCTCTGGTAAGGGGGAAAATCCAACATTAGAAATTACATTTGGTCCAGACATTTCCCCCCTATAAATAAATACATGGACAACGCCGGGTTATCAGCTAATAGACTTATCAATTACAATAAGCACAGTTGAACAATGGAACCAATTACAGATGCTTCTTTTCACTGAATATGATCACGCAAAGTCAAATTAGCCTTTCCTCATGGACATTTTAATTTGGTCTTGATCTTCTAAATGATATTTTTAAAGTCTTGATTCTATTATTCTAAAATCTCTCTTTACAGATGGAAATGCATGTAGCATAATAGCAAAGGTAAAACAGGACTGGAGAGGATTTTTCTAGTTTTACGCATTTTCTTTAATTATCCATTTACTGAAAACAATTGGTGCAATTTTGAGCATATGGTAATCATGATGACTAAGAGAAGGCCTTCAGGATAGACTTACCGAAATGGAACCTTTTGTAGCACAAAAGGATATTCAATTATTCCAGTTGTTGGTATTCTCACTCTGAGGACATCTTGCTCATTTGGCACATATGACGGCACAGCAATACGTTCTAAATCTGAAAGGAAACTTCAAAATCAAAGTCACACATTTTTAGTTCAGGCCGTCAGAAAGCATTTCACATGATTCAAGAGACTAAAAGTGATATTTCACACGAAAGCTAATATAGCAAAAACAACAAAAGGTTTGAAAATGTATTCCGAATTAGGATGCTGTTGTGGAAATCTTACTTCTACTTGAAGATTGCAGAGAGTTGTAATGCTTCTTTATATCTGCCGCTGCCCTATATCCTCCCTCTGAAGCCTATATGCTCTAAACCTGCTGGATTTCCAAAGAGCCCTAAAGATTTGACTTCTCCAGCTGGATCTGAGATAAAGTGATCTGTAACTCCAATTCTTGATTACTATTTCCCCATTACTGTTGTTCCCTGATGTCATCTGCCATATGTACATCTTGATATTACTTTATTTCTGTTTTTAAATTCAATTCCTTGTATACATTCAGTTGCTTTGGTGAGCAAAGTATGTAAGAAGACAATGATGATGGCTTCAAAGATCAAATATCCAATTATTCTACAGATAGCTAGATAATGTACAGGAAGTATTTGTAATATCCATTTAATAGAGAAGGACAATCTACTGGAAACATGTTTATATGCATATCCCTTATACAGAAAAGCATGCATTATATATTGATGACAGTCTTCTAAAACAATGTGATCAAAATTTGGCATTACAATTATATTTTCTGATAGCAATATTTCTTCTCTAATAAAGAAAAAAAAATCAAGCTTTTGGAAGACTTGTCAAAATTGAGTGTAAACTCAATTGCTTCTGAAAATGACCCAGATAAAAACATTTTGCAGACTATTCAAAAGAAGCTGGCTGAAGTTTTAACAATTAAAAAGGAAATACAACTGTAGAACTTAGAACTGTAAACTGTCCAGAATTATTTGGTTGAGATGGGTGGCTATAAAAAATTGAATGAATAAATAAATGCTTAACCAAGACAATTATAATATCTCTTTTCAGGGATTTACAAAACAGGCTTGTTAAAAAAAATCAAGCTTTTGGAAGACTTATCAAAATTGAGGGTAAACTCAATGCCCCCCAAACTCTGAAAAGAGATTTACAACCTTCAGCTTTGATGCCACTGGGTCAACAAGCCCACTGCAGCCCTCCAAGGCCTCCCCACAAAAAGGAAAGAAGGAAGGGGGGAGCAATTTCCAGTTTCCCACCAGAGAAGCACCATGTGACCCTGTCGTGCATTTGTTTCAACTATGTTTTATTAATTGTTCAAAATCATAAAAACTGAACCCGCACACTTCGTAAAATCTGTTCATTAACATTCCATACAACAAAGCGGTAATAAGCCATAATTTTTTTAAAAAAATATTTTTAAAAAGCCAAAGTGAAGTTTGACAAGATTATTATACTTACTATTTAGCTGAGTCTGACAATTGGTATTCTCTCCGTCGGTGGTAGCACTTTTGGATGCCTGGATCCTCCCATAGCCTCTTAATTGCTTCTGCATGTTTTCTTTCCAGGCTTACTATTTTGTCTGTTTGTACCTCTTCAATCATCTGGCTGTCATCCTGAAATGGGGAGTGACGGTAGGCATAGTTATAGATTGGAAAAAATCAGTTTGAACACAGAAAATGTTAAACTGGAGTTCATCAGCTCTTCTGCTAAGCAAAGCATAACTAAGAGCACCAGTTAATTTGTCCAATTCAGCAATTGGAATGAAGCTTTACTTAACAAGCAATCCTTATAAGGTTGATTGAGATAACTGTGGCAAACATGTGATTTATGGAGCACTTTTATTGCTTCCATGGTGCATCAATAGCTTTGAAACGTGGAAGAGAAACCAACAATATCTAAGGAGGCTGTTTGGAGATGCATGTCCCTTGCTCTATTTGATGTATCTGAACTGCTTCCAATGAGATATGCAATCAGGACTCTTAATGGCTGGCTCTCCCCACAACCAGGAAGACATAAATAACAGAATAACACAGTTGGAGGGGACCTTGAGGTCTTCTAGTCCAACCCTCTGCTCAGGCAGGAAACCCTATACCATTTCAGACAAATGGTTGTCCAATCTCTTCCAGTGTTGGGGCATCCACAACTTCTGGAGGCAGGTTGTTCCACTGATTACACAGTGGAAGACACTGTCTTCCATACTGACTACACAAATACCCTAATTAAAGCAGCCTTAAAGAAAACTACCTATTGCTATTTGTTATTTCTAATGTACCAAATAAACACCTATCTGTCCATTTAAAAGTTTTCCTAAAGTGCAAAGTGATGAACAAAATTTCCAACTTGAATTTGGAGGTAACAATGCACCTTCTGAATTAAATATATGAAGACAAGGAAAACAAGAATTCACCCAGGTACACCAACTGTTGCAAGCACATAGCTCTCAGTGAAACTTAGAAATAGTATAACTCTTAAAATAGACAATAGACAACAATAATAGATTGTTATTACTTTGGGTTTTCCCCCTGTCCTTTCTCAGTGCTCATCTTTTAAGTGTATATATAATGAGTGTCCTCCAAGTGGAAAGGAAAAATGTTAAATAAATAAGCAAGCAAACAAGCAGTAACACATAGTGGCATTTGAATTTACTGGCCCAGCAATCAATATCCCAAATTATTTCTTGGATTTTTTTTTCCAAAAAAAATCAAGAAAGAAAGAATCAAAATCAAAAGAAAGAAAGAAAGAAAGAAAAACAAGCAACTATGATATTCTTAAAATCTGACGCCTAATGCTATACATGCTGGCATAACTTTTGGCAGCAATGTTCCATGATAGAAATGAATCTAAACCAAAAATAAATCTTGTCATTGCTAAAGTACTTGGCATTTCCACTTACACTAGGCTGTCTCTCTGATTCCTTTAGCATTAGTCAGAATGTGACTTTGAGGAATGAAGAAATCAGGCACTTTGGAAATTTTATACAAATGGCTGGGCAACAGATGAAAGCATTTTATTTGCATTGGACTATGTGAATAAAATTAACCTGACAGGCATGAAAAGATGTAGATTTCTCACATAAATTAAAAAAAAACCATGCTAGGTTTTTTGATTGTAATGTATTTACTAGTGCTGTTACTAAAAATTTTGGAATTTTGAAACGTTGCCGGTAAGATTTTGGAGCTAACTATATAAAATAAACAGCTTTTCGTGGGAAATGAAGTTATTTTGTCTATTGTAAGTCGTATCACATATTAGATTATGATTTAAATTGGACACTATTAGGGATTAAAGATTCTGGGCAAAAATGTGTAAACCAAAAGTTTTGATCAGGATTGGAATTTACAAAATGATATAAAATGCTTCAGCTGTTAAAAATTAAAGAATGGGGTCAGAAATTAGTAACTCTGATATCAGTAACAATGTATGCTTCTATGGATAACCAATCATCGAATGTTAATGAATGACAGATGTGAAACAAATCTGGCTTGATGCAGAAATAATAGAATCAAAAATATTGGATTAAAAAGTGTGGATTATAAACAGAACAGGCATTTAAAGTGGAAATACAAGTGAAAGCTCAAGAAAATGACCCAGATAAAAACATTTTACAGGCTATTCAAAAGAAGCTGGCTGAAGTTTTAACAATTAAAAAGGAAATATAACTGTAAAAAT